GTATTTGCAAGTAACTCTGAAGAAAGACCAGATGTTAAAGAGTGTGCCTTTTGTGAGAAGCTATACCATGACATCCAGACATGCCGGAAGTTCAGGAACAAGTCTATAGCCGAACGAGTCAAGTTTGTGCGAATGAAGAAATTGTGCTTTGGATGTTTGCAAACAGGACACCATTCAAAGAACTGTGAACAGAGAAGTGTCTGTGACACATGTAAAAGGAAACACCCAACGTGTTTACATGAAGACCGTACTAAGGAAGACGGAAAGAAAGAACAGCGGGTTGATGAACGTAAAGAGAGTGGGAAACACTCAACAGAGAAGGAAAGAACAGATTCTAAACAGACCAATGAAACGTCGTATGAAGCCACATCTAACAGAGTGGTGCAAGACATGAACAGCACCTATACATCCACTGTTATTCCAGTCTGGCTGTCCACGACAAGTAACCCAGAGACTGAGGTTCTCGTATATGCACTTCTGGACAACCAAAGTGACACCACCTTCATCTTGCAAGAGAAGGCAGAAACTTTGGACACGCAAAAAGAGCCTGTGCATTTAAAGCTCTCCACATTGTCATCCCGAAGAGCTGTCATTCCAAGTCAAAAGATTACTGGGCTGCAGGTCAGAGGTTTTTATTCATCAAAGAAAATCGTTCTCCCAGTAACCTATTCAAGAGAATTCATTCCTGCCAATCTAAGTCATATTCCTACACCCAAGACAGCAAGGGCATGGCCGCACCTGGAGCACCTTGCCGAAGAGATCGCACCTTTAATCCAATGTGACATTGGTCTGCTCATAGGTTACAATTGTTCTCAAGCCTTGCTGCCAAGAGAAATTGTATCAGGTAAAGACAATGAGCCATTTGCTCAAAGAACAGACCTTGGCTGGAGTATAGTCGGCTGTGTCAATCCCTGTGTCGACTATGGCGATGCCATTGGAAGCAGCCACAGCATTATTGTGAGACAGGTGACCCCTCATCTTAAGTCACCTACTAATCTAACAAGTGAAGTCCGATACATTTGCCGAACACAAGTCAAGGAGTTAATCACTCCACCAGATGTGATAAAGGTGCTCGAGTCAGACTTCACAGAGAGAACCGTTGAGGATGCTCACTTCTCTCAAGAGGATTTCCGCTTCATATCAATAATGGAGGAAGGAATCAGAATAAAAGCAGATGGTCACTGTGAAATGCCTCTGCCATTTAAGGAAGACAGGCCAAGTCTGTCAGACAACAGGAAATGTGCAGATCACCGTCTCAAGTGTTTGAGAAAACGATTTGAGAAGGACAAGCAGTACCATAAGGATTATGTAAACTTTATGAGTGAAACAATAGCTCGTGGAGATGCTGAAAAGGTACCAGAAAACCAACTTGACAAGAGCCCTGCCTGGTACATCCCGCACCATGGGGTGTATCACCCACAGAAACCAGGGAAAATAAGGGTCGTGTTCGATTGTTCGGCAAAGTTCCAAGGTGTGTCGTTGAATGATCACCTGCTCAGTGGGCCAGAACTGACAAATACTTTGATAGGTGTTCTCTGCCGGTTTCGCAAAGGTCAGTCTACCGGATGAGAGTGCACTTGTTTGGGGCAGCCTCATCACCTGGCTGCGCAAACTATGGCCTCAAACATGTTGCCATGCAAGGACAAGGTTACTTCAACGAAGCATCCATTCGCTTCATTGAAAGAAACTTTTATGTGGATGATGGCCTGACAAGTGTGTTCACAATAGATGAAGCAATACAGTTGGTCAGTGAAGCAAGGCAGATTTGTAGCGCTGGCAAGCTACATATCCACAAGTTTGTTTCCAACCGCCAAGAGGTACTTGCATCAATCCCCGAAGAAGAGTGTGCTGAAACGGTACGAAATCAGGACTTGCCTCTTGGTGAGCCGCAAATCGAGAGAGCGCTAGGTGTTAAATGGTGTGTAGCTTCAGACCAGTTCCAGTTCAGAGTGATTGTGAATGAGCGTCCACTCACTAGAAGAGGAGTTTTGTCAACAGTTGCCTCTATCTACGACCCACTCGGATTTGTAGCTCCTTTCATTCTGGTCGGGAAGCAAATACTTCAGCAGATGTGCCGAGACAAGATTGGGTGGGATGAACCACTATCTGATGACCTTCGGCCACAATGGGAGGAATGGTTGTTGGATCTACAGAACCTAGCTGATGTCAAGATTCAGCGATGTTACCTTCCAGAAGGTTTCAAAGAAGTAAAGAAATACGAACTCCATCACTTTTCTGACGCAAGTGTCACAGGGTATGGAGAATGTACGTACCTGAGAGCAATCAGTGCATCAAACCAAATCCACTGTTCCTTGGTCATGGGCAAGGCAAGAGTGGCCCCCACAAAGGTCACCACGGTGCCACGACTTGAGCTGTCAGCTGCTGTTGTTGCTGTTCGGACAAGTGACATGCTTAAAAGAGAGTTGGAAATTAAAGATGCACAGGATTTCTTCTGGACGGACTCAAAGGTCGTTCTTGGATATGTCAACAATGACGCCAGACGGTTTCATGTATTTGTTGCAAACCGTGTCCAGCGCATCAAGGACAGTACCAATCCAAGCCAGTGGAGACATGTGACCTCTGAAGAAAATCCTGCCGACCACGCGTCAAGGGGTCTTAAGGCAAAGGATTTGATTGCATCCAACTGGTTTACTGGTCCAGATTTTCTCTGGTGTGATGAGCTTTCCAGTGGAGATGTTAAGGTGGGAGATGTTGCAGTCGAAGACCCAGAAGTTCGTAAGGCTGTGGTACACAAGGTACACACTATGACAGCGGAAGGTTCATTGATCGATCGCTTCCTAAAGTTCTCCAGTTGGACAAGGTTGGTCAAAGCCATCACAAGACTTGTGCGACGTGCCAAGGAGCTGAAAGGGTTGTCACCAAGAAGCAATGAAGCTACAAGTCTTGAAGAGAGAAAGGAAGCAGAACTTAACATCATAAGCATGGTCCAACAGGAAGCCTTCTTTGATGAAATCCAAAGTCTTCAAGACAAAGGGAAAGTAACAACCAAAGACAAAGCCAGTAAGCTGCACAGATTGGACCCCTTCTTGGATGAACATGGTATTCTCAGGGTGGGAGGGCGACTAGAGCATGCTGCTTTGCACCCCCACATCAAGCATCCAGCAATCTTGCCAAAGACCTGTCACGTATCAAAGTTGCTGATAAAGCACTACCATCAGCAGGTACAACATCAGGGGCGTGGTATAACAATGAATGAACTACATTCAAATGGCATCTGGATACTTGGATGTAGTCATTCTGTGTCATCCTACATCTACAAGTGCGTCAAGTGTAGAACATTCAGAAGGCCCACTGAAGAACAGAAAATGGCAGACTTACCCCATGATTGCATGGAGACGACTCCTCCCTTTACATATTGTGGGATGGACTGCTTTGGCCCATTCTACGTCAAGGAGGGAAGAAGGGAACTAAAGCGGTACGGCCTGCTATTTACTTGTTTGTGCTCTCGTGCTGTGCACATAGAGCTTCTTGATGACATGACGGCCGATGCCTTCATCAATGCTCTTCGTGCCTTCATTGCCCTACGGGGAAATGTTCGACTACTTCGATCTGACCAGGGCACTAACTATGTTGGTGCAAGACGTGAACTCCTGGAAGCTGTAAAGGAGATGAACCAAGAATGCCTAAAGCAACTAGGCTGTGAGTTTGTCATGAACCCTCCATCAGCAAGCCATATGGGTGGGGCCTGGGAAAGGCAAATCAGAACCATAAGAAGTGTGTTGACATCCATTCTGGATCAGTCTTCTCGGAGACTTGATGGTTCGTCTTTGCGGACTTATCTTTATGAAGTCATGGCAATCATAAACAGCAGACCTCTAACAGCACATCTGCTCAATGATCCAGTTGGACCGCAGCCTCTTACACCCAATCACATTTTGACAATGAAGTCTTCAATACTCTTGCCACCACCAGGAGAGTTTGTGAAAGAAGACCTTTATCTTCACAAAAGATGGAGGAAAGTGCAACATTTAGCCAACGAGTTTTGGTCTAGATGGAAAAGGGAGTACCTGTTGAACCTGCAACAGAGACAAAAATGGCACAAGATACACAGAAATGCAAAGGTCAATGATGTGGTGATTGTGCAAGATGATGCTGCTCCAAGAAATGAATGGAAGTTGGCTAAGGTCACTCAAGTGTACCCTGATGACGACGGATGTGTGAGAAAGCTACAACTGATGATCAGTAACTCAGCATTAGATGGACAAGGGAAACGACTAACTAAACCAGTCTTCCTAGAGAGGCCCATCCACAAGACAGTTACTCTGCTTGAAGCTGAGTAATAATATGAGTAACTGCTTACAGTTCCTTGTTGCAGATTCCATAAATATTCTCAAAAGAATTCTATATGTTAAGTTAATTAGAGAAATCACCAGTGATTTGGTGGGAGTGTAGCTGCCGTCAGAGACAGTTATACAGTTTAAGTTCATTTTATACTTTTGAGTCAACAATTAAAATAATTTACGTTTTAAGGGATATTTCTGTTAGCAGTGTATTTTAAGAGCATGCACATATACACAGAGAGAGAGATGTGTATTTAATAGCGGAACTAATGTTGTTATGTTGTAGAGGGGCGGGTCGTTATTTAGACGCACTCTACACAGCACACGAGGAACAGAGCACCTGGAATGTTAATTAGAAGATGACGTTATGAAGATACTTATTAATGCTACGGAGATTTGGATGAGACTCGACGTTTGAAGTTTCCTTTCTTACTCCCCTTGAGTTAACGCGGCCAATGAGTTCTCACGGCATGACTGACCACCAATGTGCAAATAAATGCCCGTGCATAAAAGGAACGACTTGTGTTCGTGATTTAAACTGGAGGGAGTAACAATGAGTTCTCAGTGCTGATCAGTGATTGGACTGATGCTTTCAGCTCTGCTCTCAGTGTTTCCTCTACAGATGAAGGTAGAAAGTCTCTGGGAGCTGATGTGGATGTGAATTCAGCAGCAGCTGCCAAGGTAACAGGATTGATTTTGGATTATTGGACGAGCTGCCACTGCATGCTCTGACTGGATATAGTAGACTTGGAAAAAGAGCAACATTTCAACTGTTGAGGAGCTTTTCAAAGTCAATCAAATAGAAGTGAAACAGCAACATGAAGTGTATTCCTCTAGTCTTCAACCAACCCCACAGACTAAAGAGCATTGTGAATGTCATTTCTTAGATACTGCAGCTCAAAGTGCCAACAACATTTCTACTCTGCATGGAAACTGTCAGATGAGTGGATTTAGTATTGAGCTGAATGAGCCGTTTCCTCCAATCAGAGCTGTGTGTGTTTGTCATGTGACTGAGAGGAATGATGGGAAATAATGTGTGATCTCTCCCAGCAGGTTGCTGTGTCTGTGTGAAGGTGTGGGCTCTGCTATGAATCAGTGTGAGGACAGAGAGGAGGGAGTCCCTCCCTCTAAAAGCACTCTGTGTGGGGAACATGACACAAGGACCAAAGCTCAGAGGTGAGATGAGGATCTCTAACTGTCCATGACTCTTCTCCATGTCACAAAGGCTTTGATTCTCCATTTGAAACAAAGACATTTATCTGAGCTAAAGTACGTAGTTGTCAGTATTCAAACAGGGCTGGACAATCTGATCTCAAATCAGTATCAGGAGAAACATTCAGCTTCATAATGAGAAATGTAACAGTAACATGTGTTTGAATCAATCAGAGCAGATTTCCTTCCTCATGTTGCTCACTGCTGATGTTTGTCCTGATTCATTCCAGTCTGACCAGTTCCACATTCTGCTCTTCTGGACTGGACTGGGAGCTGATTGCTCTCTGGTTAGATGTTGTAGCTGCTCTCACTTTAATTATATGGAATTCAGACAGTGTGTTGAAGTGTGTGACATCAGTAAATTGTGTTCAGTAACACGTCCATAATGTCAGTAATTGAAGACATTGTTCTTATTGTCCAGCCCTGTATTCAAACATTTCAAATTATACATCATTTCACAAAGTCTTTGATTCAGTGACAATGTTTCTGAATATGTGAGCTTTAATGAATTTCTTTCTATCAGGATCCATCAGAGACCAGACTGTCCTGAACCTGAACCCAGCTGTGTGTCCATGAAGAGTGATCGCTCTATGGGTCGTCTTATACACTTCAAAGATGGCCGCCACTCTGTTGATCAAAGGTGAGGATTTCAAACTGATGGTGAAAATAAAATGATGTGTTTTTATCAGACTCTCAGTTGTGAAATCTCTATTTTTAAATGTTTTAAAATGTCTTTTAATGGACGGTGATGGTTTGTGTCAGTTTACAACAGCCTCAGTTTCACAGTGAACAAATAGTTGCAGCAGTTTATAGAAACTCACTGCTTTGACACCACGTCTGTTCCTCTTTTATCCTAATTGGACCGATATGGTCACTCCACTCCATCATTTCCCCGCCTATACTGCACACTGCACTGAATACAGCTTTAAAATACACAGTGAAACATGTCTAAATCAAACACTGACTTTATAGAAATCCTAACCAAGAACTCCCTGGGTACAAATACACTGTGTACAGTCGGTGTATTCAGTCACTGGTTCTGTCTCAGTGTGTTGTGGGTGCAGTGCAGAACTGATCCTGTTTTTCTATCAGGAGGAAAAAACCTGAACCCAGCTGTGTGTCCATGAAGAGTGATCGCTCTATGGGTCGTTATAGAGACTTCAAAGATGGCCGCCACTCTGTTGATCAAAGGTGAGGATTTCAAACTGATGATGGAAAAGAAATGATGATGTTTTTATCAGACTCCCAGTTGTGAGATCTCCAGTTATTAAACCTTTTCATGGACCTTTACCTTGTGTTTGTCTCTGTGTGGACAGACATAATGTGAGCTCATTCTTCATGATTCCTCCACAGAGTGGACCAGGAGAGCTCAGAGGTTCCCAGTGGTCAGTCTGCCCAGCAGCATCAAACACACCTGGACTCCATATTTATGGTCTGTACATGGACAACAACTACTTTTACATCTATTGTGTTCACAATAATCTCCATGCTGCACCTTTTAGACCAGTGGATTGTCAGTCTGTCCAACATGGATCTGATGTTTGCTTCCATGATTTGACTTTGATTGAGTCATTCATATAATATTCTGTTCCAGCTGCTGGAGGACAACATTGTCACTTTTGTGAAGAACGAGCTGAAGAAGATCCAGAAGGTTCTGAGTTCAGATTACCCACAATGCTTAGAGATTCAGAGGGAGGATGAGGAGGTGTTGGACGGTGAGAATGAAGAGCAGAGGAGGAGCAGCAGAGAGGCATTTCTGAAGATCACACTGCACTTCCTGAGGAGAATGAAGCAGGAGGAGCTGGCTGACTGTCTGCAGAGCAGTAAGAGGATTTCTCTAAAGATTTAACTCGCTGGATAAATGAGACATTTACTGATGTCTCAACAGACGGACCAAAATATATTCACATACTCATTCTTTAAAGCAGCGTTTCCCAAACTTTGGGTTGGGACCCAGAATGGGTCACTGATAGGGATCGACTGATATGTTTCTTTCAGGGCTGTTACAGATACCGATTATTAGTAATGAAGGAAACCGATAATCAATATTTGGAACCGAACAATTGCAGGAAAAAATATTTTGAACAACCAGTGAAACTAAGAGAATTTATTTATTACTTTAGTTACTTTGCAGATTCACATTATCAATATAAAATATAAATCAACTTATAAATTATGAATAATTATTATAGATAGAACACATTGATAATTATAATCTTAGTCTCTTTGAGTATTGTGGTGTTGCTACTTTAACTTAAGTAAAATATCTGAGTAATTTAAACATGTTTAATCAAATGTTGCAAAAAATATCTTTTCAGAATCATTTTACATTTTACTCTACTCTCACTAATGTGTGTATTTATCAGCAATCGGTTGAAAAAAATTTATGGTACAAAAAGAAAAAATGCTGAATATCGGATCCAATAATCGGTCTATGCCTGGTCATGGACCCATTTTATTAGATCCCCAATTAAAATGTGTAACAATGCTTTTTTTTTTTTTTATTTTATTTTTATCAAGGAGAAACATACAAGGTAAAGTCAGTACAATTATACACACACACAACGCAAAACAGAATCAAGCACTTACATAATTGCACTATCATATAATCTCCCATCTATTACTCTCCTTTTTCTTCTTTTTTACAATGTGTAAAACGAACAATTGAACAACGGATGTCACACTTCCTCATTTCCCATCCAGATCTACCGACAGCAATTTTCAGTTATCCCAATATTCAATAATCTGGTACGTCAGGCCATGTGATAAAGGTACTTAAAGCAGTTCAGGTCTCTGTAATCTTATATATCTAATCCATTTTGACCACCATCTCTTAATTTTCTCTGATTGTAGTCGAACGTCAGTCTCTCCATGTTGCAGATTTCATGAACAGTTCCTTGCCATTCTTCCAGTGTCGGTGCATTGGGTTGTAGCCACTTTCTTGTTACAGCTTTCTTTGCGCCAATTAACAATATCTTCATTAGGTATTTATCTGCTGTTGTTTGAATATGCAAAACCATGGTACCAAAATAGATTGAGCTGACATCAAATTGTATAGTAATTTGAAATATGTATTCCAGACAATCATGAATGTCATGCCAGTAAGACAAAAGTTTCGGACAATCCCAAAATAAATGATAATGGTTGGCTATATCTGAACCACACATCCTCCAACAACTTGTTCCACTCCCTTGGTGTCTCTTCTGAGCAGGCGTTTTTCCATCCAAACTCCCGCCAGCTATGTGAGGTTGTGGTTTTCCATTGTTATTTACAAATGTTTTCCCATTCATCCTCAGGTATGACCAGATTTTCCTCCCTATCCCATCTACATTTAACATGCAGGGTGTTCGAATTTGAGGAGTTTAGAAAACTTTTATATAATCTAGATATTAGTCTCTTTCCACTCCCCGGATTTGTAAGTTGAAACAAAAACCTTCAGGATATCACTACCCAAGTCCTCTGTCAAAATTGTATTTAATCGATGCCTTACTTGAAGGTATCTGAAAAAATCTTGTTTCTCTAAACCATATTCTCTTTTGAGATCGTCAAAACCTTTCACAGACCCATTGTGTGTGAGGCAGCAGTAAGCCGTAAGGCCCCTTTCCATCCATATTTTAAATCTACTATCTGTCCTATTTGGAATAAAATCCATGTCATATGCACACCAACGTAATATTTTTCCTGCACCCTTTAAATTGTATTTCCAAACTACTTTGTACCAGATTCTTAGTGTTGTTTTTATCCAGGGGTTATTTTTATTTGAAAGACTGTCTACTAGTTTTTTGTCTGCCATTGCTGCCTGCACAGGTGGGCCCATAGATCCTCCCTCTTCTATATCCTTCCATCTGGCCCTGAACTGTGGGTCACAGAGATACACCAGGGATCTTATCTGAGCCGCATGGTAGTAATCTTTTAAATTTGGCAATGCCATTCCCCCTTTGTATTTTGATAATTGCATTACTTTGAATTTTATCCTTGGTTTTTTACCCATCCAGATATATCGAGAAATTAATTTCTGCCATTCAATGAACTGTTGAGCACTTATTTCAATTGGCAGCGATAGGAAGAGATAAAACAGGCGGGGTAAAATCACCATTTTGACCGATTCAATCCTTGATGTTAAACTCAGAAAAGGTAAGTGATTCCATCTGGAGATGTCAGATTTGATTTTAAGGTTGAGAGGGATATAGTTGGCTTTAAATAATTTTGTAATATCTTGGGTAAGATTAATTCCCAGATACTTCATTGATTTCTTGTTACAGCTCAGGCTGTATTTAGTTACCAAATCATCTGGTTGGTTGAAATGAAAAGACATAGCCTGAGTTTTCTGGATATTTATCTTATAGCCTGATAATTGACCAAACCTATCCAATGATGACATTAAAGCTGGTAGAGATGTGGATGGTTGTGATAAAAAAATGAACACGTCATCTGCAAACAGAGATATTTTTTGTTCCTGTCCTGCAATATTTATGCCCTTGATTTGCCCGTTTTGCCTAATATATTGACTGAAAGGTTCTATAAAGAGGGCAAAGAGAAGTGGAGAACAGGGGTAACCCTGCCTACAAGAACGTTCCAAAATAAAATAATTTGAGAGACTGCCATTTATTTTAATTCTTGCTGTTGGCTTACTATATACCGCTTTGAAAGCCTCAATAAGAGTATGATGAAAACCAAATTTATCTAATACCTTATACAAAAAAGTCCACCTTACTGAGTCAAATGCCTTCTCAGCATCCAATCCCATTAACATAGCTTGTGTCCTGTTTTGTTGGATTTACCACATAATATGTAGCGTCCTCCTTAAGCTGTCTTGGGTCTGTCTCTCATGAATAAAACCCGTCTGGTCCAAATGAATAAGAGATGGCAAGAGTTTTTCAATTCTCCTAGCCAATATTGACATATACATTTTATAATCTAAATTTAACACTGAGATGGGTCGAAATTGTTTACAATCTAATGAATCTTTGCCTTCCTTTGGTATTACTGAGATCATGGCTTGCTTCCATGAGGGGGGAATCTCTCCCTTTTTGAGTGCTCCATTACATATCTGGCACAGTTTTGGAATTAGCTGTTCCTTGAAAGACTTATACCATTCGGCTGTGAAGCCGTCTGAACCTGGACTCTTATGTGGTTTGAGTCTTGATATTGCTGCCTTGACCTCTATTTCAGTAATATCCGCAGACAGGGCTTTATTTTGTTCTTGTGTGATTGTGGGAAGATTCAGAGATTCAAGAAAACTCTTCATCTCTTCTTCGTTATCTACTTTTGGTTGTGAGTATAGTTCCTAATAATAATTTTCAAAACTTTGTTGAATTAGGTCTAGTCTATGCTGTATTTTCTTAGTTTGAGGGCATCTTATCTTATTAATAGTGGCGTCTGCCTGTTGTTTCCTCAGTTTATATGATAACAGTTTCATTGCCTTGCTCGCTGCCTCATAGTGCCCCTGTTTCAAAAATACCAGTTTCTTTTTAACCTCTTCTGAGAATATCTCATCAATCTCATTTTGCAGTGTTTTAATTGATACTTCCTCTTCCTCTTTATACTTCACTTTGAAATAATAATTAGGAGCCTCTGTTACATGGAGAACAATCCTCTCTCTTCCAAACATAAACCTAAAATATCAGGATGTGTGGCTTACAATTTTACACATTTTTTCTCGCAGTGGAGGGGTTTTTGCATCTTCTATACAAGTCTTACACTCACTCATTAGACAACACGTAAGTGAGGAGCTCCCACTGCTTTTCAGAAACAGCTGTGCAATGCCCGAGCATAAATCAAAGATGTCCAATTCTGTAATCGGACTCCTTCTCAACCATACTTGCGTGATTATTCTCTATTCAGCCGCATCTTGACCTCTCGCGCCGGACCCCAGCTGAATCTCTGGAGCTTGTCTCTGATCATTGGTCCTCGACGTGCATGCGTCTGTGTTCGTCCCTCGTCTGCCGCTCACCGACCAGGACAGCCTCCGTATCTGCTCCAGCAGCGTCTCGGGTGGTTTAAGCACTGTGACCTGCAGCCCCTTCTCTGCCATCTCCTTCGTTGCTTCCTCAGCTGTGTTGTAGGTGCGTGTCCCATCCGCGTAGAAAACTCGAAGTCTAGCCGGGAAGGGAGTCTGAAAGCGGATCCCTTTCTCCTTCAGGACCCTCTTAGCCTCTATGTACTGTTGCCTTTTCTTCAACACACTCGATGCGTAGTCATTGTTCAGATTGATTTGTTTATTTTTCCACATAAAGCCCCTTTTCTGCCACGCTGTTCGTAAGATTTCCTCTTTTGTTCTGTAGCTCTTTGGCACGGGTCCAAGTTCAATGTTAAGGTCCGCGTCCTCTGACAAAGACAAGCCATGTTTCAGCAGTTTTCCAACAAACTCTATCATCGACGAAGACTCGTTTTCTGACCCCTCTGGGATGGAGTAGATTCTAATGTTGTTTCGTCTAGATCTCCCCTCCTGGTCCTCCTGTCTTTCTTCCAGGTGAGCTTGAAGTTTCGTTAGCTCCTCCATCACTTCTTCCAGCGACTGCATTCTCTCCTCTGTGTCTGAAACACGCTCTTCTACTTCGTCGAGTCTCTTTTGGTTTTGCTGATCTCTTCTTTAATTTCCTCGAGTTGTTGCTTATTATCGTGTCGGAAATCTTTTATCACTGCGAGAATTATTTTCAGGCTAGCCTCCATGTTAGCTTCCCCTTCCTCTCCGTCATCATTTGCTGGTGAGCCACAGCTAGCTGGGAGGGACTCCGGACTCTGGGTTTCGTGTGTTTCGGCATTCTGTGCAGGTTTCCTATGTCTTACTTTGCTTTGCCTATCTCGCAATGAAGTCTTGCCCTTATCCATGTTTTACCATCAGTTTTAAATCGAGTTCGTCAAGTTAATGGGGACTTAAATTCTAGTGGTCGGGGAGATTCTCTCTCACGCTGCCATCTTAGTGGCCGCTAGACCGGAAGTCGTGTAACAATGCTTTTATATGTGAATTCATTTTCATACTTAAAACAGAAGAAGATAAAATGCTCTTCTGACTAGTGTGTGCTGTACACTTATTTTTTTTTTGTAGTAAAAATATGGAAATTCATGATGTGTGTTTCGTAAAAGCCGTTTCACACAGCTGAGCAGCAACAGCCAGCTAGAACAAGTGTTCTCCCAAAAAGCATTTCCAAGGTAGCTGCCACCAGCTGGGTACCACCAGAAGTTTAACTCTGTAAAAAGTTTCTTTTTGGCTTTCAAGCTGTAAAATTTTGGGAACCACTGCTTTAGTGGAAAGAATCATGTTATTAATATAACTATACAGTATATATTATAGATCATATTATATATTATAATATCATATTATTTTTTAATTAATCATTTAATGATCTTCTTTTCTGTGTCTTCATTAAGAACATATTGTTGGAGTTCGTCAGTGTGAACTTAAATCTAACCTAAAGAAGAAGTTCCAGTGTGTGTTTGAGGGGATTGCTAAAGCAGGAAACCAAACCCTTCTGAACCAGATCTACACAGAGCTCTACATCACAGAGGGAGGGACTGCAGAGGTCAATGATGAACATGAGGTCAGACAGATTGAAACAGCATCCAGGAAACCAGACAGACCAGAAACAACAATCAGACAAGAAGACATCTTTAAAGCCTCACCTGGAAGAGATGAACCAATCAGAACAGTGATGACAAAGGGAGTGGCTGGCATTGGGAAAACAGTCTTAACACAGAAGTTCACTCTGGACTGGGCTGAAGACAAAGCCAACCAGGACATACAGTTCACATTTCCATTCACTTTCAGAGAGCTGAATGTGCTGAAAGAGAAAAAGTTCAGCTTGGTGGAACTTGTTCATCACTTCTTTACTGAAACCAAAGAAGCAGGAATCTGCAGGTTTGAAGAGTTCCAGGTTGTGTTCATCTTTGACGGTCTGGATGAGTGTCGACTTCCTCTGGACTTCCACAACACTGAGATCCTGACTGATGTTACAGAGTCCACCTCAGTGGATGTGCTGCTGACAAAACTCATCAGGGGGAAACTGCTTCCCTCTGCTCGCCTCTGGATAACCACACGACCTGCAGCAGCCAATCAGATCCCTCCTGAGTGTGTTGACATGGTGACAGAGGTCAGAGGGTTCACTGACCCACAGAAGGAGGAGTACTTCAGGAAGAGGTTCAGAGATCAGGAGCAGGCCAACAGAATCATCTCCCACATCAAGACATCACGAAGCGTCCACATCATGTGCCACATCCCAGTCTTCTGCTGGATCACTGCTACAGTTCTGGAGGATGTGTTGAAGACCAGAGAGGAAGGAGAGCTGCCCAAGACCCTGACTGAGATGTACATCCACTTCCTGGTGGTTCAGTCAAAGCTGAAGAATGTCAAGTATGATGGAGGATCTGAGACAGATCCACACTGGAATAAAAAGAGCAGGAAGATGATTAAGTCTCTGGGAAAACTGGCTTTTGAGCAGCTGCAGAAAGGCAACCTGATCTTCTATGAATCAGACCTGAAAGAGTGTGGCATCAATATCAGAGCAGCCTCAGTGTACTCAGGAGTGTTCACACAGATCTTTAAAGAGGAGAGAGGACTGTACCAGGACAAGGTCTTCTGCTTCGTCCATCTGAGCGTTCAGGAGTTTCTGGCTGCTCTTCATGTCCATCTGACATTCATCAGCTCTGGAGTCAATCTGCTGGCAGAACAACAAACAACATCCTGGTGGTCTAAATTAGTTAAAGACAAAAGTAATCTAAAGGATCTCCACCAGAGTGCTGTGGACAAGGCCTTACGGAGTCCAAATGGACACATGGACTTGTTCCTCCGCTTCCTCCTGGGCCTTTCACTGTGGACCAATCAGAATCTCCTACAAGGTCTGCTGACACAGACAGGAAGTATCTCACAGACCAATCAGGAAACAGTCCAGTACATCAAGAAGAAGATCGAAGAGACTCCCTCTGCAGAGAGAAGCATCAATCTGTTCCACTGTCTGAATGAACTGAATGATCGTTCTCTAGTGGATCAGATCCAACAGTCCCTGAGTTCAGGAAGTCTCTCCACAGATATGTCTCCTGCTCAGTGGTCAGTTCTGGTCTTCATCCTACTGTCATCAGGAAAAGATTTGGACGTGTTTGACCTGAAGAAATACTCTGCTTCAGAGGAGGCTCTTCTGAGGCTGCTGCCAGTGGTCAAAGCCTCCAACAAAGCTCTGTAAGTACAGACAGAGTTGGATTTCTGTATCATTACTTAAATACTCTGCTATCTTTTCTATCAACTGCTTGTTTTTCATTATGAATATATTAATAACACAAATGTTATTTTCTTTCATTGCTGATCATTGTCTCTACAGACTGAGTGGCTGTAACCTCTCAGAGAGAAGTTGTGAAGCTCTGTCCTCAGTTCTCAGCTCCCAGTCCTCTAGTCTGAGAGAGCTGGACCTGAGTAACAACAACCTGCAGGATTCAGGACTGAAGCTGCTGTATGTGGGACTGAAGAGTCCACACTGTACACTGGAGACTCTCAGGTGAGATCATAGTATACTTTATCTTTAGTTAAAGCAAGGTAAATATCAGCCCAAGAGCCAATTGGCCCCTATGTCAAATTGTTTTACTTTCATATCTTACTCGTGCAGGCACATGAACAATAATAATGCAACTGCATAACAGTGTAAAAACGTTAAAGGTGATTAATATTTGCTACCAATCAGGACTGCATTCTTACAGACTTTAACCATCACTCCTCAGTGAGCTGCCTCCTTGGTGGAGGGCTGAAAGTACTTTTTAGTATCTAGTTATGAATTCTAATATTTCTAATCTGTTGACATTGATATAGGCTAATAAAAATAACATCAGTTTCTTTAATAGGATACATTACAATTTTTTCATAGTCCGGCTCCCACAGGGTTTGCTTATAAAAATTCTGACCGTTGGACAAATGCAGTTGAATACCTGGGGCACACATCAAATCTCAAACTACAATACTTTTGTAAACTTCAAAAAAACATGTTTGATATTTGAATGAATCTGAACTTCCAATGAACGGCTGGAGGAGGAAAGAGAGGACTTTGGTAACCTGAGTCTGAGAGACAGCTGTAGGGGAAAGGAGAGAGGACCAGAGACCAAAACCAGACCAAAACAGAAGATAAAATAAAGAGATCTGGAGAAATCACAGTGAAGAGTGAAAGAGGGAAAATTAGATGTGGAGAGCTCTGTTCTTCAGATTGAGAATTCAGTTCAATTCAGTTTTATTTGTATAGCACTGATTCAGTACAAAATTTATCTCGGGACACTTTTCAAATAGAGCAGGTCTAGACTGAACTCCTGATAACATTATTTACAGAGACCCAACAGTACCACCATGAGCAAGACCTTGGAGACAGCAGCAAGGAAAAACTTCCTTTTAAGAGCCAGGAACCTCAGACAGACCCCGACTCTAGGTGGGAGAGAGAGAGAGAGAGAGAGAGAGAGAGAGAAAGAGAGAGAGAGAGAGAAAGAGGGGTAAAGAGGAAAGCACAGAGACAAAGGTACAAAGCAACAACTATACCAATGATGATGATGATAATGGCCAGCGTGATGGGTAATGGTGAACGATGATGATGATATTAATAATATTGATGATAATAATAATAATAATAACAACAATAATAATAATAATAATAATAATAATAATGATAATGATAATAATAACAATAATAATAATGATAATAATAATAATAATAATAATAAAAATAATAATGTCATCTTTTTACAACCATAGAACATAGAGCTTGTCAGGTATGATCCCTTGAATATCTTATCATTTCTTCATGTTGATCATTGTCTCTACAGAATGAGTGGCTGTAACCTCTCAGAGAGAAGCTGTGAAGCTCTGTCCTCAGTTCTCAGCTCCGAGTCCTCTAGTCTGATAGAGCTGGACCTGAGTAACAACAACCTGCAGGATTCAGGACTGAAGCTGCTGAATGTGGGACTGAAGAGTCCACACTGTACACAAATCATCAGGTGAGGATTCATTAATCTGTTCTTTCTATCCTCATATTTTAGAGTAGTTTTATTTTGCCTCTGCTGCTGGAACCTGACATACCAAAGAGGAATTTTAGGAGTCAAGAACTGTGTATCTGACCCAAAGTAAAACTCATACAGCCAGTTATCAAATGAACATGTAGTGCCCCTAAGGCTTACCCAAAGGAAGTAATAGTAGAGCAACTAACATCTACCTAGGTCAGAGGTACGGTGCCTTTAATAACTCAGGACGAGTTAGTTTGGGAATTGAACAGTTGACAGTATTTATTGCCTCAACCAATCCAACAATATGATCAGCAATTCACATGGAATGAAAATAAAAATTTACAAAATCAAATAGAGCTCTCTCAGATGTAAAATAATAAAAGAAAAGAAATAGTCCTTTAAGGAGTCAGGTATTGAGTTCAGAGTTCAAGGTTCAAGGTAGAGTTAATAGTGTGTACACTAGGGCTGAACGATTAATTGCATATGCAATAATATCGCGATATGATAAAACGCGATTTTCTGACCACAACTTGCGCGATTACAAGGTGGTCACGTGGCGCGAGTGAAAGAGTGGAGAGCTCGGCTGCATCAACTTTTCATGCTGCCCTGTAAGCTGTTGCGCAATGGCCTCTGGCTCAACGGAACAGTCAGAAACTGACACAGCTCAGACTTTAGTCTCGAAGAGGAACAGCACGTCGGTGGTGTGGAACTTTTTGGTTTCAAAAAGAAGATGCTGCGCAGCGTCAGGTGTTGTGCAGAGCATGCCATGCTCCCGTTGCTACTTCACAGGGTAACACTACAAACTTGTTCCAGCACTTAAAAAATACCACAAATCAATGTATGGCAGTTATATGGCCAAAATGCCGAGCACCAGAGCACCAGTGCGCCAGACAAGCCAAATACCGCAAGACAGGGATCCCTGACCGAAATTTTTGAAAGTGTCACTCCATATGAACGTAATTCAAAACGGCACAGGGAAATCACTCGGGCAATCACCGAGTTCATAGCCAAAGATATGATGCCTCTCAGCACGGTGACCAAGCCTGGGTTCATGGCATTGATAAATACACTGATAAACGGTACAGTACACCCTCCCGTACATACTTCAGTCAGACTGCCATACCGGAGCTGTACAAAAAGTGCAAAGAGAAAGTCGCCCCGGAGCTTAAAACGGTGGAGTTTTTTGCTACCACTACTGATATGAGTGCCATACTCATAGTGAACTTTAGTCTGTGTGGTGTGTTATTGTTGTGTACTTGAGGTTGATCTATACTATAATATTCAAATTGTTTTTTATTGTCTAATTTAAAAGTGCATTTCTCCATTTTTTATTTATAATTTTATTTACTTTGATTTTACAAAACATTTTCAAAGTAGTAGAGGCAAATTCCATGTTTCAGTTGTGTGAAATGTTACTGACTTGGGAGCAGTAAGATACATATCATTTTAAATGATTTTTTTCTTAAGACTGTACATTTTGCACACAGTGCATGCCTTTGTTTAAATTACTTAAATGCACAGTGGCAAAGCCACAGATGTTTCTGTAATGGGCAGTTAAATAAAAATGTCATGTAGTTCAGTCATACATCTTTTAATTTAATTAATTTAACAAATAGGCCCAGCCTATGGGGAAGAACATTTTACACTAAATGTATCTAATATTGTGTTGGTCATATTTAAATCATTCATTATGTTTTGTTGGGAAAAAAAGAGGATAAAATAAATAATAAATAAAAAATTGCATATAAAATCAGAATTGCAATATTGGGGGAAAAAAATCGCAATTAGATTATTTTCCCAAATCGTTCAGCCCTAGTGTACACAGTCTTATCTGTTCCTGAATGTGCAAACTAGTCCGATGTCCTCTGTGGCTGGTCGTGTGGCGGCCTCACCGCGTCCCCAACCCTCCACAGTCACTCTGGGCTGGGCTCGCCATCATTGGATCCTCTAGATTCTTTCTGGTAGCTCAATAAACCAACCTGCACAAGTAGTGCTGAGTATTAAGTTACTCTGTTCTGTTCTTATTTCTAACATGAGACCTCATTAACTTAGTGCATCAATAACCAATGACTAATGACTACAATGGAATGAACTACCAAATGTAATAGCAACTGGTATTCTATGCACCAACAAATCTCAATCATGAATTTCTATAAACCTTAACACTTGGTATTTTAACATCGATAAACGAATTATTTATTATTATTTTCTTTCTATATGCAACATTGTTTTTAACTGTTCCATACATCATTTAATATTTTAGACTATAAACATGGAGTTAAATTGGAAATATTTATGTATTTATCATGTACAATTTAATAAACAAAACCAGCTCAAACACAATGTAGTTGGGTAACAAATCATTAAAATATATAACCAATTTAAAGCTGAATGATTTTAATATCAACACAAAATAAGTGCAATGCACCTTTAATATTTTACCCTGCTATGAGCTGTTCCTTAACCAAACTAACAATTGGCTTAAAACATTACATTAGTAGTCCAGGGTATACGCGGGTATACGGCGCTTATTTTTCAGTCAGCATTGCGTACACCCATTTCTTAACCCCCCTGATGCCACCAATCAGTAGTATCTGCGAGCCAAATTGCCCATTTTTTTCCCTAGGATGGTGAAGCCATGACCCACGCTACTCTGCCTCTAATTGGCCAATACTCGCTGCCTTTACTGATTGGATTGGTTAACTTTAGGCATGACGAGGAATGAGCCAATCGGAGGCAGAGAAGGGCGGGTCATGCCGAGGTAAATATTGCTAAAGACAAATTCACTTTTACAAGTTTACTTTAAATGATTTGCCTTTAGGATTTGTAATGAACCGGTAAGATGAAGCGAGCTATCCAAACAAACATTTCATTTGACAATTACAAACGTCCTCGCTAGGGATGCACCGATACTGGTATCGGGCCGATACTAGTCTAATGTACTCGTACTCGTTAAAGTTAATCGATAACATGAACCAATACCAACGGACCCGTATCGGCGTCCACTTGCTCTCAGTGACGGATCCGCTACGAAGGCGGATCGCGGACCGTTTGGGAAATTGATACATACATCCGCCGCGGACCCGCAACGGACTCATAAAAATCCTGGCTCATCTGGCCCGGGTCCGTTTTGGACCCGTTTATCTCATTTTCAAAATCCCTTCTGTTCTTGCTGTAGGGTAAAATAGGATAAACTAAACTATAGGATAAAACTAAAACTATCACTAGGCCTAGGCTACTACAGGCCTAAGCTTAAATCTGCATTGCCTTGTATTTTTAACCTAACAATATTGTCAGAAAAGGTTCAAGTCAAGACATCAATATACTGTACAAAAGTAATCACTACTCAATGGAAATATAAAATTGACATTTACATTTAAGGAAAGTTATAGGTTATAGCCTATTCTGTTTTTGTTAGGTTACTCTACATTCATTTTGTGGTCAAAACCTAATTTAGTGCATTTTTTTGTGGTAGAAGTATCGGCATCGGTACTCGGTATCGGTAAGTACTCAGATCCAAGTATCGGTATCGTATCGGTTTGAAAAAAAGTGGTATCGTTGCATCCCTACTAGAAAGTATACAAGGACCTGGTTGAAGAGCCATCGTGCTGCCTCTTCTGTGCGTTCTAGACAGTGCAGTGTGAAAACTGTCTGGAATATACTGTAGTATGAGCAAGGTTAGAAACCCAGTACTGGGTTCAGAGACTATATCACTGTTGATGTGTTGTAAATGCATATATATTATGTTCAATCATCATATGATACTTATATATATCTAACGAGTTATGCTAAAATAGTGTTTATTTCAATTTTACAACAGTGCACTTTGAGTTTATCTGATTGGTTTTGATGTGTGGAAGAGAATGATTTACGTTTTTTTAAATCTAAGGTGAAATATGAACAAGGATGCATTGTCAAATTCAGATCTGAAGTATTTTATTTAAATAAATGTTCAAAAAATAACTGAAACACCATGTTTGCCTCATCTATATTTTCCATTCATGCAGGCTGCCTGTGTGACCAGTAATACCTACAAACTGCTCCTGATCAAGTCATGTTCATTTTATAATAGTGGCACACTCTGGCCCACGCTATCTGTTGCAATCAGCTGTTCAAAGACAGTTTACAAAAGAAACTACTGACTTGCCAAGTGAGAGAATAGGTGTCCTTCCAGGAATAAGGAATAGTTCACTCAAAATGCATAGTTGTCTCTCACTAGTCTGTGGGCCAGTATTGGTTCAGTAATTTCATAATCCTTCCTCCCTGAGATCAAGCAGCAAACATTATGTGAGAATGAGCAAATACTACTGACGGATTTTTGGGTAAACTAAATAGATATAATAATATTAGAATATATAATATATCTAATAAATTACATGTCACTGTTTCTAAAACAGGGCGTTTTTCTGGGCTGCGTTTAAAAAGGGCAAAGATTATTGAGAGTATACCCACTTCTCCAGGGATCATACAATGATACACACCAAAGACTATGTCATTATCAGCTGATTAATAATAAGTGCTCCATGTGAAGATGTAAGTCCATTTGTAGAGAATAAGCTCTGTGTATGAGAGCGATGTAATGTCCATGTTTCCATGCTGCTCTGACCCCCCTCCTCCTTTCAGGGTGGAGCCTGCTGGAGTCCGATGGTTGAGACCAGGTCTGAGGAAGTGTAAGTGTGAAAACAAAGCAGCACACATTCAACCATCTTCACACTGTGACATCACTCATTCATAGCTCTGATGTCATCATCAAAGTGTCAATCAATGATCAGATGATAGATCAATAACTGCTGCTGTATTGTGTCTTGTTCTCTCCATCAGATTCCTGTGAACTCACAGTCGACACAAACACAGTACACAGAAACATCAAACTGTCTGACAACAACAGGAAGATGACATTAGTAAAGAAGGATCAGTCATATCCTGATCATCCAGACAGATTTAACCGCTGGCCTCTGCTGCTGTGTAGAAATGGTCTGACTGGTCGCTGTTAC